ACCCTGGGGCATCAGTGCAAGGCTTGGGGTGATCTCAGTGTTGGGGTCTGCAGGATGCTGCTGGTTTTGGTGGGGGGGGACTGGAAGGGCAGAGCCCCAGGGGTGTGATGGGTGGGTGATGATGAGGGGTGATGAGCCTGCACCCCGGCAGGGAAGGGGTGCCCGCCAGCCCGGATCCCGGTCCAGGGATGGGCGACGGGCCCGGAGAGGGGCGGGGGGGGCGGGGGGGGAAACGTTTCTCTGACATCACGGCGGGTGCCGGAGCAGCCGGGGGGGCCAGCAGCCCCACGGTCACTACTCACCCGCTCCTGCCCCCCGAAACCACCGCTCCCCGGCACCTCCGGTAAGTGGGGGCTGGCAGCGGGGGTGGCTCCCACCGGGGGCTTTTTGGGGGGGACACCAGGGGATGCCGTACCCGGCTACCACAGCCGGGACCCCCAGAGCCAGCACCTTGGACTTGGGGAGTCTGTGACCAACTTTGCAGTTATCCCCCCCATCCCTGCACCCCCCATCCATCGGGGCTGGAGATCCTTAAAGCCCGGGCAAGGGAGGGCTGGTGGGGGGGGGACACCGGGACCCTCTGACTCTTTCCCCCCCCCTGGGGAGTTGAGGGGTCTCTGCTAAACGGGGCCAAAACTTCCCAGTTTGTTATGGGGAGGGGGCACGTGTGTGTAATCGTGCAAACCCCCTGACCTGGGCCATCCCCATCACCCCAGCTCTGGGGGGGCTCAGAGGGAGGGAGAATCCATGGGGTGCAGCTGAGGGGGCTGCAGCCTACCCTCTCCCCCCTAGCAGGAGGGGAAGGGGCAGCCCGGCTGCCTGGGGACCCCTCCTCAGCTGTGCTTACTGGTGTTGGGTAGCCCAGGGGTTGGGGGGGGGACAGGGATTTCGCTCCATCTCAGGGAAGGCAGCCAGAGTGTAACCGGGGGTTGGGGCACTCTCGTAGAGGGGTTCAATTCACCGTCCCCCACTCTGGGGACAGGCTCCAAGACCCCACATATCCCCCCCCAGCAGGGTTGGGAAGCCCAGGGGCACATCAGCTTCTCTGCTTACCTGGGGGGGGGG